ATATTTATATATATATTATATATTTTATATATATACTTTAATTTCATCTATCACATACATGATTTTCTACTCATTTAAAACGTTACAGAGCATGAAAGAAACGGTGTTTATTAATGCACATTTATTCGACTAATTTGCTTGATATATCAGTGTTAAAGATGGCCGCCCGGTTACGTTCATGAAAATAGAATTCTCCGGTTTCAAAAGTGCCCCGGCAAAAATGACAAGAGGAAAATCTGAAAAAATCTAGTTCTCTGTGTAATTCTATGGTACAGTCATGAGAGGAACGTTTAGTACTCCTCTGAGAAACAGTTTAAGATATACAGCATTAAACTGGCGCCAAGTTTCTTAAAAAAAAAGAGAAAAAAAGGGAAAAAAAACAAAAAGATGCTCGCGCATGTGCTCTCGGGGAGAAACGCGAAACCGAGCGCGAACCGGGCCGATTCTGGTGAAATAAACTAAAACGAAACACGTGCCGGTTCAGTGATCGATTAAAAAAAAGTTGCGAGTTGCGAGGGAATAACCGTTTCTTGAATGGGGCCAAAAATCACGCGGACCCCGTCGACTAAAAATCTTCGTGGGAAGAGGTTATTGCTCGTTGTCTATGGTAGATATGAATCGTATGAAGGTCATTGGGTCAAGACCGGTTACCGGCGACGTTATCACACACCCCAAATGAACTTCAATGAGCTTAACCTTCCGGGCGAAATCTATTGAACGAGAGGAAATATTGGAAATATGTATGACGAGGGGTCCGTGTACTTACCACCCATGGTTGGAAAGAAACTGTGTTTCTTTTTCGAATGGACCAATTCTACGACACACTCAACACTCGCCGATGCCCGCACAACTGACAAAAAGTCGTACGCACTTCATCAGCGCTACAACACGAGTGACGACTCGAGTCTCTCCTTCCACGCCGCGGCGCTATCCCCACCTTTCGTCCTGTGCGTGCCTGGACTGCATTATCGACTGACGATCCTGCAGGCACCACCACAAACAAAATATACAATAGATTTCGTAACAAAAGGAGCTTTTAAAAGGGAATTGTCTATACCGCGTCTCACTTGAGATATGTCACATTATATTTCTTATTGAGTAATTTATACGCAAATTATTACTGTATATCATTCTCTTTTATGATTGCGTACTATGAAATGTATAATATACTGAATGTCTTACCGAACTTTATCGCTTGAAATATTTTCTTCGTGCAAAGTGAATCGTTGGATATGTCTGAGTAGAAACTTCTTGATTAAGCATGGATGGTATTTAACTCTCGGACAATGATGTCTGAGTTTATTTTCACTTAACTGAGTTCGCCAAGAAAACGTGCGTTTTTCAATTCTCTTGTATCCAACCACGCAAGAAGGCTACCGAAGAAGTGTATTTTAAAATACATTTAGAAACAGAGATGACTAAAGTTCAAATTAGATACAAATATTGCACCCCAGAACGTTGATAGCAATGGTCGCTTTGCAAGAGTTAATCGCGCAATGGATTTACCTGGTTTAAAGAAAAATAAATTGCTATAGTTAAGTATAGGAAACCGGCAATTGTATCGTACCCTTTATATTTCAATCCGTCTTTAAATATTGACTGAACTATAAACTGCTGTATCGAGTTGGAAGTTGATGTCGACGTGGGTACTTCACAAATTATGTCTGGCCAAAGGTCGCTGTTGACCCACCCAATTCTGCATCAATTCTTAACACGTTGAATACCGCATGTTTTTCCGATACAAAATATGCGAAATGAAAAAAGTACAATATTAAATTATTTAATTGAATTGTGTTATTATTATCGCAGATTTGTTTTGCCGAATGTCACCGCATTAGGTAGTGTTAATTACAATATAGGAATGTATTCACATAATCATCGATTAATTGAGGAAATCGCAGTAATTGAATTTAGCCGGGGGTCACCGGTGATCCCTGTGACATTCAGCTTGTTAAAAGAAATTTCTCGTGCAAAAATGTATTCGATCGCTTGGTGCGCCGCTTAAATCGAATGCAAAGTCGAGGTTGCATCGAACAGGCGCAGTAAAATGCTAGCCGAACAATCCATGCGCGCGAATTTTACAGCCGTTCGCGACACCTGCTGCGAAAACGCTGCGGCAGGCGATGCGTCGTTTCAGTTCCGGGTGTTCCTCGACGGACAAACAAAACATGCATCGTGTAGCGGGAGAAGATACGGGGCAGCGGTCAAAATTACGGCGATACGTTCGCTCGCACACCATCGTCCACCCGATTCTGGTCTAGGCCGTTCGATCCCGTAAAATGTAGCCAGCCGTTCAGACAAAGTCAGTGCACCGGCGCCCGTAAAACTCCTGACTTATGAGATCAGCTCTCCCGTTTCCGTCTCCAGCACGTTGACGTACACCGAGGAGTGGCGCGCGAAAAAAATGGCCAGTTCACCAACTAGCATCGAGAATCAAATAGACAGTTTTCTCGAACAGTTTAAACGCAGTGCCTCCCGTGCTATGGAGGAGTCGCACAGGTCCAGCTACCATGCTTGCAGCAGTAATATCAGTCGCAGTCGAAGTGGGAACCTGGATCTCGAGATCTTGGATGCTGGTAAGTTTCCGCTGAAACTGTCCCGCCGTGTATATTTCCATTTCATTTGAAATCTCACCAACTTTTCATACGATTGCTGGTGTATTTTCCTCCTGCACGGACATGCGACCGTTTTTCCATCGTTATCCATTGATTTTTCGGGCGTTCCTCGCACATTTTCGTGTACTCGTTTTTACGCGATACCTACGGCTCCAGTACACGTACTTCAAGCCCACAGTACCTACGCGCATTAAGTTTCGACTCGACGGTTGAATTCGAAAATTCTTAGTATTAAATATTTTTATACGCGACATCCTGTTGCCTTTCAAAATTTCAATAACACGCTTGCTTTTTTTGTCGTAATTGTATGTAAATGTATTTCGTACACTATCGTACGATTAGTATTTATTATAGCGTGAGAAATATATATTTTACGATTTTACGTGGATTAAGAAGTTTCTTTAAATAACGATTATGTTGAAATTCTATTCCTCGTCGATCGCGCCTAATTAGTTTACATTGTTAAGGAATTAAAATAATATTTTTATGATTAACTTCTCAACGTGCCGACACAATGAAACAAAGATAAAAGTGTAAGTCGCTTCTGAACGGAAGATTATAGAAATGATAAAATCATTGTCGATTAGTAAAGTTATAATTCGCTTCGATTTAATCGTACAGCTTGACAGTGACACGCTGCGAGTCACGTGCAGCTACCCCTCTTTGGGAATAGAGTCTTCCGCGATTGGTTGTTCCATTTTGTCTCTACCTTCACTGTGGAGAGGCATTATGGCGGTGTACCTCGGTTGGGCTGCGATAGAGGTCGTCGTCCGTTGCCGTGGTCCCTCATGCCGTCGAGTTGTAAAACTGCAGGGTTGCAAGATGCATTTAGTAGTCTCGCGAAAGAAATACCGTCCGTCACGCTGTTAATCACGCTCGCACGGATCGTATATGGTCAATGCAGCGTCGCAATCGGTTTCTCGATCACGGTTTTCTAATCGTTGCGCGGAGTGATAGGCAGTCAAAAAACTTGTACGAAACATTGGGGTGTACGGGGAATACCCGGCTGTAATGATCGAACGTGAACAAGCGCCGCCGGCATCACCATGAGTTTCCATTGAATTGATGTACGCGACAAATTGACCCGGTTCGCTGCGTCAGCAATGAAACGATTTCACGTTTAACGATAAATAAAGTTACTATCTGTTTGACCTTTCCGGTAACATCGCGTAATATTTTCATATTTTCTAACCGTAATTAACTATTTGTGAAATAACCGAAAACGTTATGATCCTACGACGAAAATCCGCGCACGGCTGCAATTGCCCTTGCCATCAACATTGCTCCACCAAATGTGCAGGTTTGAATTTACACGCGTACATATATCTCTTTGCGTACTGTACTGTACTGTATGTGCACCATGTAAATTAATGCGACACGGATGAGCGTTGACCAGCGCTGAAATTAGAAACGCGTACGGCGAAAACGATCTCCGTTCTATCCTTTTCACGAGTTCGTTGCGACTATAAAGAGATTATTGATTTATAGATACGTCTCGTTTGTTTACATGTGGCTGTTGCAGGTATATGTGTTATGGATATCCGATGCCCGTAATTAATTTGATATTTTTTTTATATAAACATTCGTTTTAGAAAAGGTTGATGCG